TGACACGATGCCCCATATGTTCTTATATTTTCCGGGTTTCTGTCTTCCCCCCCACTTCACATAATTTCCCATATTCTCGGGGGAATCGACAAGTACTTGTGTCTGTGTGTTTGCCCCTCCTGACAGACTGGAGCGGGGGCCGACCGTCCCGGCATCCCTCGGCGGCGCGCACCAGGGGGTTCGGGGGAGAGGGGAGGGCTTCTTCGGAGGAGGCTGCGTCTTGGAAGGCGCCGGCCTGACATCTGTGGGGATGAGGCCCACGCCTCCTAAAGAGCAGGGGTGCCTCTGAGAGGCCCTCCCCCCTCCCCCCACTCCCCTCTGCGCGTGGCTGAATTCCTAGAGGCCTACCACAACATGTTCTCGGGCACACAACAATGTTCCAAGAACCAACAAAAAGGTGTTCAGAGCTTGAGCCCGATGTACTAAGACGGGACAACATCGGCCAGAAATGTTCTGAGGACATGTCGTAGAAACCACAAAAAGGTGTTCAGAACATTGGTTGGTGGGCCTAAAGGCAGGCCAGGACGCTTCGCCACTGCTTGAAAGACAGGCAGCGGCATGCTCGAGGGGCAATGTCAGGGGGGGGCAGCTCAGAGGGAGCAGCATCGAGCTGGAATCTGCCAGACATCGCCGATAGATCGGCGGTGGGCCCTTCCAAGCGGAACCGCGTGTTCCTGGGCGGGTTGGGCCATCGGGCCCCCCCATCGGCGATGAATGGGCGATCGGGGGTCGATGCGTTCCTCTCTGAGCCTATCACTCCCTGACGATGCCCCTGACTATGGCTCCTCGAAATGCAGCCAGGCGGGGGTTTCTCTTGGGCCACCCTGCAAAGTGCGACACGCGGCAGCCGAGGATCTAGGTCTCCAAGATGGGGCCAGAGCATATGATGTCGCCCGCCGCGCCGCCGATGTATCGACGATTCGGCTAGATGTGGAGCCCCTGTTTCTCCACGCCGAAGGCGCGCTGCAACGCCGATATCGCCGATGAATCGGCGATGCATCGCCGATGCGGCGAGATCCTCCGACCCCATCTACCCCGACCCCACTGGGAGGCCTCTAGGCAAGCACAAAGAGAAGTGCCGAGCAGCAGGGGGGGCAAGGAAGAGGAGGATGAAACACGAAAGCATGGCGAAGAGTGAGGGAGTGAACAAGGGCTGAAGGACTGACCCGGACAAGCTGGACTGCTTGCATCTGCCCTGGTGGAAGGTACCACCGATTATAGAGGGGACGGTCGAGAGAGGGGCGAAGGGAAGAAAAAGAAAAAGGGGGCCGAATACCGCGAACGGCATCCCGCCCGGCCAAGAATTCTGCTGAATCTCTGGGGGGCCTCGCCTGCCCCTCCGCGCTGGCTATCCGTGCCGAATCCGCGTCGAATCCGTGTCGAACTCGTCGAATCCGTGTCGAATCCTCGTCGAGTCCACATCAAATCCGCGTCGAAACCCCATCGAACACGTGTCGGATACAAACAAATACCGCCATGTATGTCACGGACAAAGTCAATCGACAAATCCGATGTAACGGAAATACCCGCACCACACCAATCACAAACACGAACCGCATTGCACAACAACACTTTGGTCCCCTGTTCTGTCTAGATCCTACCAGGACCGTTCCAAAGCGCCCCCAGCCGTCGCCTGAGTCACGAGCAAAGAGGAGTCGTTAGGGAAGCGGGTCATAAACTCCCAGTGTATTCCCCGAATCGCCTGCTCGCACACCGCAACGCTTGGACTGGGAAAGGCACTAGGGTGCCGAAACGAGCGGCAACATTCAAGGGCTCCTTTGGTTCATGGCGAAAGCGGCTGCCCACAGGATGGACCAACAAACAAGGAAAGGTGCTACATCGCGAAAGCTAGACAAACATAGCTCCGCCGAGAGACTCATTCATAGTAACCCCGTAGGTCCATACCGTCTCCCTTCTCCTGCGTGTCATCAGAATCCTCGTTATCCAACTTCAGCATCTTACTCATTCGTATCCTCCTCTTCCTCAATCTCGCCCTCGTCGTCGTCAGCATCCGCATCATCCCCTCTCAAACAAATTCTCCGTCCTCCCGCTGTCCTCCATCTTGGCATTCGTCTCGTCCACGCCCTCGTTCTTGCAGCAGAAGCAGCAGCAACACCATCCTCATCACCAGCATCAGCATAACCATCAGCAGCATCATCCTTAGCATCATCAGCATCAGCAGCATCATCATCAGAATCGTCGTCGGCGTCGTCGTCGTCACCAGCAGCATCAGCATCATCAATATCAACGTCAGCATCATCATCCGCATCATCATCCTCAACATCACCATCATCATCACCATCGGCATCGTCAGCATCAGCCGCAGAAGCAACAGCATCATGGCCATCATGGCCTTCAGCATCGTCATCAGCATCCTCATCATCACCATCACCATCATCAACATCATCACCATCGCAGTAACCAGCAACATCATCGTCAACAGTAGCATCATCACCACCGTCTGCATCATCATCACCATAATCGTCATGACCATCATCAG